GCACTACAGACTAAAGAAAGGTTGTTGACACACATGTTTTCAGAGATGAAAATAACTACATAGTAAATTCTCTAAGTACACATAGTTATAGAGATATTAAGTTCTCTAAATCAACAGAAAACAGTCAGAGGCACATATTATAGGACTCTATTGTAAAAAGACTCACAGAAGTAATCCACAAAGACCCAGGAAGTAGATGGAGAGGAAGATAAGAGCACTGAGGGCAGCCAGCTGTCAGAGGTGAAGGTAGAAAACTACAATTAGCTATTTGAGGCTTTGTCAGGTAATGCCACCAAATTTAAAGGGCTAGCACTAGAAACATCTATGCTCATGAACTGTTTCTGTAAGATAATATTTTTACAGTAGCAAGCGAGTATGAACTAAAAGCAGTACGGAAATTATTGTGAGAGGAAGGCAGAAATGTATCTGCATGTCATTAAGTACAGTATAAACGTTAGCAATAATTCACAGGAAGTACAAATGCAGAAAGGAGACACAGCAGTAGATTTCATATGTTGCTTTGGTTATGAATACTCCTTTTCAGATCTCATTGGTTTCCATTGATTTTATTGTTTATGCTTAAAATAATTCCAAGTGTAGGACAAACACTTGATATCCCTCGCCATTTTTCTATTAATGAGAAGGATGGATTTATCCCATCTGACACAGTTCTTATCATCAGAAATGACTGAAGATACAGTAAATGGGCAGTTACAAAGGGCTTTACAGCAACCTGGAGTGCAGTTGCACCACTAGAAGGACTTCTAGCATCCTTCCTGGGTGTAATTCTCTTTGGCCCTCACTGATCTCTGTTCTTCTCATGGATGGCAGAAACAAATTCCCTAGCAAACACTTTTACCAGCAGAGCCAGCCACGATGAAGCTTGAAGAGGTGCTACAGTCAGAAAAAATTTGATGCTGCCTTTAGTTACCACTACAGTATCTTCCAGATCTATATTGGTAAAACAACTGTGCTGAACTGCTGGGTTCATGAGAGTTGTTGTAAAAGAGAGGCACATTTTCAGCAGTAGGCATAGGATGATGATTGTTACATTTCTTTGGCCTTTGTTTGTGAGTGCAAGGACCATAATTATCTGCAATTCCAATCCAGAAGAAAAAACTACATTTGGCCCAGAGCTGTTCCTACTCAAGATCTGCCACTAGAAATGTTCTAGGTATCCAGCTAAGGCAGCCTAAAGCAGCAACAAAAGCTATTGGCCTTATGCTCTAATTTAAACTTCTCACTTATCTTCTATGCAGTCATTAAAGCACCTTTTTCATTTTTTAAATCAGGTAGAAAATCATGATCTTCACTCCAGTGTAAAGGATGAAATATCAGAAATATCAGCTTCTGCCTAAGTAATTTTTAATGAATTGAATCCTTTGTCCAACAATAAATAAAGTTGTCACTTTGGCACAATAATACAATCTAATGTTTTATTTTTGGCTTCATTTCAAAAGCTGTCTCTGCATTTGAGAGCATAACCTTTAATGTTCAATTCTCCTTTTTAAAATAAACTTTAAACATAATCTTAATTTCTTTCCTAATTTCCGCCTGGGGGAAGATTTCTTACTGCAAAAAACTTGGAGCTGAACTGAGAAATCCTTGCCAATCCGTAGTTTCATTTGCTTTTATCTTGCAGGAATGTAAATGGTGTATTTCTTGTCATGGTTTGTTGTGCACAGTCTCTGAGATGCTCTTTCTACTGGTTCTACATTTTTTATCAGCTAGACCATGCCAAATTTACACAGTGTTAGGACTTCAGGAAAGTGTAAGAACACTGGTGTTGTAACATTCCTCTAAAGAATGCCTAGCATGTGTCCTTGGTTTATACCGATTTTAAATCTAGAAAGCTTGGGCTCCCTTTTGTTGCATAACAATTCAGTGACAAGTACTTATGAATGTATATTTCATGCACTAAATTACACCAGTCATAAATAGCTTTACAAAAATACAACGTAATTTAAGCCCTTCCACTCTCATGAACCTTCTTAATTTGTCACATCACAGTCATTCACAAATGCCTTTGTCTTCTTGTCTTCTTTTCATGATATGCAGCTATTTTTGGTTTTGTTCACTCACTGCCAGACTCTGATCTCAGTAACTTTGGTGCAATTCCAGTGTAACTCCAGAGTGGCCCCCAGTGTCTGGATGGAAGTCTGATACTCTGGTTTGATCCAGATAAAACAGTAGGAATGCTTGCTGGCAGAAGGAAACATTTTTGGGGATTTGACAAGGACCACAACCAGACTTCAGACTGAGGGCAAACATGCATATCCATCTGCTGTCAAGACAGTGCATCGTCTCAGGGCCTGTTGGGTTTGGCTGCAATGGACCTGCTGTCCATCCCTGGCCTGGGCTTGCGGGCTCTGTTCTCAGGATCCTGCACTCCAGCTTCCATTCCCACTGCTGTCTGCTGGAACGGGACTGCTGCCAGCCCCAGAACTCTGTGCAAGGACTTTCTAGACCAGCTTCTTCCTCTTTGCCATGACTTTGGGCTATCAGCCCTTTTGGACAGGGCTCTACTGGGCTCCAAGAGGTGGACTGTGCTCAGTAGAGGGTCAGGGACTTTTCCAGGATGTTGCAAAACATCATGATAGGTACATATCCTCCCATTTGAACTATTTAATAATTTCAGTTGCATCCATGACGAATATGTGTGTATTAGTACATTTATTATAATGAATTATAGCATGACAAACATTAAACATGTACATTAAACCTGTACATTAACATCAAGCTGTATCTTTGTGAGCCATCTGACTCACTGATGGCAGCTTCCCATCAGTGGCTATTGAGGCCAAAGGTACAAAACCAGTTGCATCTGACAATGCACCTTGTTCTTTATAGAAGGAACTACTTCTGGAGAAGACTGTGAAAAACTGATATTTTTAACAAAAACTAGTGGATTGCACTTTCATCTGAGATGATATTTATTGAAAAAATAATGAAAATCTGTTATGTTCAGTCCTGTCTTTTCAACCTCATACAGTTCTTCTACAGCAAACTTTTATGGCACCTAAAAGACCAGTGATGTTTTTCCTAGTTGACCCCTCCACAGGCATATTTGTCATGAATATTATGGCCTTTCCTCCTCTGACATTTTCCCTGCTAAATTGTTTGTATTCCATAGAAGACTTCTAAAACTCCTTACTTACCAGCTGAGACTTACTCCTACTCAAACACCGAATCAGTCTAACAACGAAGCATGAGTAGCCTGCAGTACTTGCTTGCTGCTGGGCTGTTACAATGTGAGTCTGACTGGGGTAAGTTGGTGACAGTCCAATTCAACTTGAAGTGGAAGTTACTGGTAATACTGCTGTTTATCATGCTTTGATTTCCCAATGCCCAGTAACATAAATTTAATTTTTTTTCTCCACATGCTGGATGGCTTGGATGCTGGTTATGTCTTCCACAAAAACTGAAGTTCTCACAGACTAAAATAAAATGACTTGCCATCATGATGCTGTGACAGCCTCTTGGCTTTGTGATTTACCCCACTTCTTTGAACTATAATACCTTGTATCTACTCACTTTCATGGCAAATACTGCTTACAGGAAAGGCAAAAGCAAGACATAGGCTGCTATTTATTCCTTACAAGTGAGATACTGTTTAGCTGATTTTACTTCTGTAGGAGATATATGTGAAGACTTCTGTTATACTTGTCCCTGAATTGTGCTTTTATGGCACTTGGGAAAAGAGATGGGTACTTAAATGCCTGTACTAGTCACAAATCCACAGAGTAAATGACACACAGATGGGCATACAGAGCAGTACACCCACCTTGCCCCGCATGGCTCCCCCGTGTCTTCTCCCACAGCTTGGACAGACAGAGCCAGCTTGTCTCCATAGGCATAAATACCCCCTCAGACACCCAAGAGAGTCTGACAAGGGCTGAGTCAAGTGTGTAGGGGGAAGACAGATAACATACCCACACAGCTAATCTGGCAGCCCAACTCCTGATCTACACTGCTCTGATTATTGCCTGCCAGGATCAAATGCTCACTGCATCCATTGAAACTTCCTCTTTTTTTCTGTCCCAGTTCAGGAAATCATCTCTAATTATACAAACGTTAATACATGTACTCAGGTATCATTACAGCTGCCTAAGTAGGGCTGGAGGTGGTTATGGTTGTACCCAAGCAGTTCTATGGAGGTGTTGTGATGATGTGCAAAAGCTAGGTACATAAATTTAGCCTGAAGGTGGGGAGAGCAAGGTATCATAAGAATTGAAACTAGGCTTTCATTCCAGCAAACATAGAAGTTCAAATTCACTCAAAAAAGAAAGTAAAATGAAATTTAAAAATCTGCAGCATAGCAAAAGAGGAACAATCTGTGTGAAGCAGAAATTAAGATTCTGCACAACGTGAACCATCACTTGTGTAAGCAAGTACTACTTACTTAAGGCTTACAGAATCTCAGGATAAACATTTGTAAAATTTCAGTGGCGTACATTTATCTCAATTTATTTCAACTACCTCGAAGTCCAGTGCCCAGCCTCAGCATGCAGCTGTGCTGCACAGCAAGGCAGAAACCTCCAGGAGAAGTCCTGAACCAGAATATGGATTTCTACCTGTGGTCACTGTAGTTGTAATTGGAACACATTTCCAGATAATAGACTTCCCTGATACCTGCATACAGTCAGAATGTCTTATTCAATGTGCAGTTTACTATTGGTCATTTTATTCCCATAAAAGACAAGCAAACTCAATTCCTTTCCAGTATAACACCTGCACCTATTTCAACCTAGCTCTACATTCATGTGGAATCAAGCAGAATCCTTTTCTCCTTTGCTTTCTGCCATAAATTAGATAAATATTAGCACGAGAGAAGGTAGATTATTGTTAAATAGTCTGCTGTTTTGCCACCAAACTGAGTAATGAGGGTAGACTTGCCTGAAGGCTGACTTTGTACACTTTAATCAAGAATAGAGGTCAAAGGTGAAAAAATTAAAGTTCCTGTCCAAAGTTCCTGTCCAAGTTCCTGTCCATGCTTTTTTCCAAAGCATGTTATTTATCTTATAATTCAATGAAGACTAACACGGTGCTTTATCTTAGCATGTAATTTGTCATAAAAAGGCCAAATTTCCCCTAGGATTTGGGTGACTAAAGACTGTCAGAGTCTCAGGTGATTTTTCAAACCATCTAACGCTTTTGAAAACATTACCAAGTATGTTCAGGCTTCATTTCAAAATCAGGCCCAAGCCGTTAATGCCTAAAAACAAAGTCAGAGATGGTTAGTCACACAGTACCAAATAAGCAGAGAAGAAAATGTAGAATGAACGAATGAAAGGAAGGAACAGAAAAGCAGGGCTGAAGCCAAAATAGTAACCAACAAATATGCATAAAGGAGAAAGGAAATCAAATTTATCCCTTTGTCAGACAAAATCACAAACTTGCTGTCACTCCCTGTAATTACCTCCATCTATCCAGCCCTTCCTGTTTGCTTCCAGCCAGAGAACCAGAGGTCCTGTGCCATCTTCTCACACTGCTCTAAGGGACAAAGGGACAAGAAGCTGCTGTGTCTGACTATCCTGGGCTCTTACATAGGTGTCTGCAAGGATGAGTCACATCTTCATCAACATTATTTAGTGTACATTTTTTGAGCCACTCTTGTCAGGATGGCCAGGGCCAAAATTACAGCTTAACTTTCATTGTGGATATGTTGCAGCTAGTTTGAAGAAGTAATGTAGACTTCAAGATGACTGAAAATGCTAGGAGGTGGCACAGTGCCTGCTAATGCTTGAAAGGTTGGTCTTTTCCTCCAGGACCCATCTTGCTGCAGTGGCAATGAGTTGTACCAGGATGTGCTGTGGGTAAAAGCCAAGGCATCAGCAATCATAGCTTTCATTTTGAAATCAAAGTTGCCCCTCTGAAGTCAACTAGGGAACCCCCATTAGAGTCTCACAGCTGGCAAGAGCAGAGCTTCAGCAAAACAAGTGACATATGTCATCTGCTCATGCTCCTATTCTCTGTGGACATATAGGACAAGAAACGAAGCATGAAGCACAGTGGAATCCATTGGGAAGGCAGCATAACTGGAAGGGAGACTGCATGTCTACATTTTAATTCTTACTTTCAAACCAGGAGTAAACTTATTCTGGGATTCCTTGCAAAGACTGCGTGAGGCAGAAGAAGTCAGGAAAGTCTGCAAAAGCAATTCAGACATATTGACACAAAGAAGAAACAGTGGGAAAAGGCTATGAAAAAAATTGTTTGCACATCACTGAGATGGATTTTGTCAAACAATTTTGCCTAGCAGAGCCATGCCTTCAAGAAAAATGGTACAAGAGTTCAGCTCCTGAGCGGGTCTGTATGAAAATGAAAACCAAAAGTTTGCTGATACGTTACATAGACAACTCTCTATATCAGGTAGATGCATATTTGGATTCGCTCACCCATATCGTTTTTTCTCACCTAGACATTTCTTCCAGATAGAGAGGACTGTGTTTTCCTAGATATTACTTTTAGTCTGCACAAACCACTGCAGTTATTATAAAGTGCTGTATATCCAGGATATCTTGAACCTACATCACTTGCACTGTTGGTCTGCAAAAGAGCTGAAAATCAACTTCATATCTGTATTCTTCCCACACCCACTGAAGCATTTCAAATTCACATTTCACACAGAAGACAGGTCTCTGAACTCCCTTCTCCCAACATGTCATTACACCAGAGCTCCAGGAATTTGATTCTATTTGTAATTCTCTAGTTATCGAGGAAGAAGGAATTGTATTGAGCTGCATATGGAACTCAGAAAATACTGAAATTTATTGAAGACAAGCTTTATTACTTTTTCTCTCTCATTCTTTTCTGGTCTACTTAACAGCACTTAGAAAAACAGTGAGCTAATATTTCTTTGATGTATGTTTTATAATTAAGCAGAATCATACTTCAAAAATCATGGAATTTCTATAAAAGATCTAATTATCAATTCAGTTGAGTTGTATGTTTGCATGTAATGTATGGCTACATTAACCTCAGCCTGTTTGAACTCCCTCAGTTATCTAAACTGGCACACTCCCCTTTCATTAACAGACACAAAAAACACTGTAAGTGAACATATGTTAGCAAAGACATCCAAATGCCTTTCTGTCTCTGTCACTCTAAAAATTTTATACCCAGCCAAAGACCTTGTAAGCCCTGGGAATAACCAAATTCTTGTTTCAAAAAGGTTAGTACTCAAAAATTAAAATTAAAAATAAAATAAAATAAAATAAAATGGTACTAGCAAGACTAAAAGCTAAAGCTTAAATTATTTGTGAAGATAGAAAATCTTCGTCAAAATAGTTTTTAACCAAATAAATACTTGTACACTTCAAAAGGTGTTTTGATTGGTTAGCAATCTCTCTCATTCAGCATGAGGGATTGGATGAAGTTTAAGTGTCTGCTAGTGTCATTCAACTCCAGTGAACACTGGAGGGTGTTGAGGTATGGCAATAAGATGTTTGGAGAAACTGTGGATGTCCCATCCCTGGAAATGTCCAAGGACATGTTGGATCGGACTTTGAACCTAGCCAAGTGGGATGTGTCCCTGCCCATGGCAGGGGGTTGGAAATAGATGATCTGTAACTTTCCTTCCAACTCAGCTCATTCTGTGATTCTGCAATGATTCTGTGACTTATGCAATAGTGTGGTGCATGACTGAGAGATCCTCTCAGCTCTGCAGGACTAACTGTGGGAACCGAATAGAGCTTTATTGGAGACTTGGAACTCGAGATCACCCTGCAATCATTTTTTTCTTAAAATAGAAACTAACCTATGTGACCGGGAAGAAAGCCCTTTTAACCAGTGCTTTTAAGAGCCCAAGCAGAAAAAAACATCAGAAAAGGAGAGTCAGCAGCATTTTAATCTTGAGTATGAGAGAGCTCCAGGCACAGAATAGGAATACAAAACACTCTGCAGTGAGGAATGAATGTGCAAACATTTGCCCTCATTCACTGCCTTCCTGGGGCAGACAATGCCAATAAAGTAGAGGCACAGTAATCTTTTAAGTTTGAGCTTGCTGTAGCTCACAGCCTTTCCCTCAGCTTATGCTGTTCAGCACCAATGAAGACTTGCTATTTTCCAGACTTTCTCCACATTCCCTATGAAGGCCAAGAGGGCCAAATCGATCTCTGTGCCACCAAGCTGTGAATAAAAGCCTCAGTCTTTAGTTTCATTGGATCCTCTACTTCCAACTCATAATTTCATCTCAAAAAGCTGTAGGGGGGGGGAAAGTAAGACAACAAAGGGTTTTTCCCCCATGAAACTTTGCTGTTGGTTAAGTGTATTATGAGCTTTTTATCCACATCTCACCAAAGTCAGTTCACAGGCATTACTGCAAGCTAAGTCAGAAGCTACTAGAAAAGGTATCAGAAGGAGAGTCACTAACCATGACATTGCCAGAAATTTCAAGCGAGTGTATTGGATCATAGGTCTTGCTGTGAAGGTTTCTGAAGAAAAAAGAAATAATAATGTCATGTATGTCCAGATATGAGAACACAATTAAATACTGCTTAAACAAAACCCTCTCCAGGCTTTAAGTTTCACACTCAGTGAACTTCTTAACAGCTCACCTAAAGACATGATTTCTGAAATATCTGTAGAACATGTATGATTTTTATGCGTATTTCTCAGTCATATTCTCCTACATGATGCCTGAGCTGGCTAATATGGGGGATACATTTTGCTAATCTTCAGGGAGAAATTTGATGGGTCTGGTGCTATTTGAACTTCCAGGTCACAGTCATCAGTAAGGGCTTTGCTGCACAGAGCTGTACTGCTAAGTTGGATCCATGGAAAACTGTTATGAAATGGAGCATTATGAAATGCAGGATCACCTGTATTGCATCTCCAGAAGTTCTGCATAAACAGGAACAGTCTCTCTCTTTGTCTTCTTCCAATACATTGATGACTTTTTTGTGCGTGTGTAACCAGATCTGTGTGAAATGATGGGTAGTAGCAGCCTGGAGAAATGGGGGGAAAAACAACTTTTATTCTCTTGCATAAAATGTCAAAACATGGATCAGACTGGCTGAACATCCAGAAATTCTTTCCATCCCATCCTTGGATTTGCCAGCCGTTCTAGGATGTCTTTTTTAAAAAAATGAAGACAACTTACGAAATTGTCTAGCTTGAGTAAAGACAGATATTGTTTCCAATAGGAGGGGTGAGTTTATTTTTGAGTTTTAAATTATCTGTTTTTAATGTCTTATATTCAGGGATTGCTTTTCATTCCAAAATAGTCAAAGATGCTTTATATCATACAAAAAGGTCCCTAAAAAGTGTCTTCTTTGTTTGTTTAAATGAGACATTATCTTATTCTTAGCATTTAATATAATCCTTTTGGTTTTCAATAGGTCTTGTCCAAGCTGCTGATCATGAAAATTCCAAAATATTTTAAAAGAAGCCAGAAACAGTGAAAGAATTAATAAACAAAATACGACAGCCCAGCTTTACGGGAAAGCAAAGTGCCCATTTGGGTACTCTTTTTCTTGTATAGACAAAACGAGGGGAAAAAAATGTGAGTTGATTATCCTTACCAAGAAGAACTGGTGGAATTGCAATGTTCATCATAAACGGTTCTTCAGTGACAAAACTGAGAGGGAGAAAAATAGTGTAGAATTTTCAAAGATTTACCAAACTCTTCAGGATTTCTTTTGTTGTTGCTGTAATCATTAAAAACTGGTAATTATGATTACTTACTTGATGTTGTGTGTAGCAGCTACAGAAAGTTCCAACAGAATTCGGTCAGGAGTTTTCTGTGATATTTTGTACCTGTATTCAGCAAAACTTCAGGAATAAACAGGAGAGCATTTGGAGTTTCCATGCTGTGTATGCTTTGCAAATATGAAGCTTGAACAGTTAGAAACTTTGCCAACAAGAATAAAAACTGCTGTATATATATATATATGTATATACACACTGCACATACATGCTATGCTGAATGTGCAAAAAATATTTGCCATCTGGAGAAGTCGTAGGTGGAAAGTGCTTTTGTGCTGAAATGGCCATAAAATAGGAAATCTGACATTATTTTTCCTACCTTTGGCAGTAGTTTGTCAATGCGTCTTTTGTTGAGAATGTTTTAGTGTCGAGAAGAAACCCTACCTTTGAGGCCCACAGCTTCATAAAGTTTTTGCCTTTCAAAGGCAGGCAGTGCACGTTCTAGAGCAGCCAATCTTTTGGGTACAAACAAACAGACAGTTGTGACCCAGAGCAAAGCACAGTCCTCCTGAGCAGTCTACCAAATCCCCAGACTAATCCTCCTGGATAAATCAAGCCTGTTCTTTATCTTCAGCATACTGGCAAGCAGGAGGAAACATCTTCCACTTCTTTGCCAGCCCAGCCAGGGCCTTTGGGAAGGGCAAACAGCTCAGCTGGATTACTGCTATGGGACTAGAGTAGCTGGAGAATGAGCAATCCTCATGAAGGAAGTGCAAGAGACAACAAATGTCACAAATCTAGTGCTTTTAGAGTCTCCAGAGCAGGAAAATGCCTAATACAAATTTAGAGTACTTATTTTTGTTAGATTACTTGTTGCAGGTCTATAACTACCATCTTCTATAACAGGAAATGCATGTTGATATAGATAGTATACAGTGTATCATATAGTGCATTATTTTATGTTCACTGAATCCTCAGCTGCAGTCTGGGGCCTGAGGATAGTAAGTCATCCTTATGAATGGAGCAGTAGGTGCTTTTATTCATTTCCTCCCAAGGAAACAAACAAGGTAACTTCTTCAACAAGACTATTTTCTGTCAGAAGACAGATTTACAAAGGATAGTTTACCTCAAATGACCTTAGACTAAAGATGTAACCCACTACCTCCTGCCTATCAGCTTTGCAGCAGCAGATTCCTATATGAGTAACCAAGCCCAGATCCAGCTGCTGACACCTATAGAGAACGATGCCAGATCATTACTGGGCACCATTTTGTGCATAGACTGTCTAACCTGAGAGCTTGAAATAAGCTTACATTTCTAAGATTTACTATTACCAGTTGTTCTGTAGGAAAACTGATATTTCAACTAGCAATTTGCAATTGCAAATAATGTATTACAGCTGGAAAAATATACATACTGGAATTCACAAAATTCCCGTGAAAACAAGAGAGGAAGTCTTCTCCTAATATGAAATTGTATGTGGAAAAGACATTAGATATTGTCATAATCTGAATTGAAGCCCGATATCTTTACCCTGTGATTAATGTGGAAAAAACAGTGACTAACGGGTAAAAATAATGTCTATACGAGCAGTCTTCAGCTTTTTATTTCAACTTCTCAGACTGTGGAACTCTAGGTACCTACGTGGAACACATATCTGGAAAATCCAGCCTAGAAATGCTACTGTTTAAAGAGAATATCCTAGGGGAACATATAAAGTCTGCTTTCTCTTCCCCACCCCCCCCCCACCCCCGCATCTTTCTTCCTAGCAGCATTGCAAGGTTAGTAAGATCATAAAGAAACTGAGCATAGCTAGGATAAATCCTAGATAAAGATCCACATTTTGAGATGACAAGTCTAATCCAAACCTGCTCAACTCAATCTAAGAGGCAAGTGATGGTAAATGTCTCACTCAGTGAAGAGCAGAAAGCCCACAGATTCACATACTGCTCTGACTGTACTTCCTAACAGATCTCAGAAGAAATGCAAGCCAGTATGATCTCATGTAAGGGAGTACGTGCTCTATACGGCATGAGCATTGCAAATAGGATCTGGCATCCAGGTAGCAAACCATCACTCAAAACCAATTGACTTCAACAGGTTTGGGGCATATATTTGGATCCTGTGGACTACAACAACTCAGCAGTGATGAAATTAAATGCATGCTTCTCTGGAGTGTAGAAGAACACAAAAATATTTTGACAATCAAACAGAAACAACTGTGCAGAAAATACACTGCACAGAGATCTGGATTGCAAGGCTATTTGCACACCATTTTTTTCCCCTCTCACAATAGAAACTGTGGGCATCTTGGAGAGACTAAAATTACTAAGAGTCTGCAAATAATTGTGCCCTGGAACACTGGAGGCCAAACACTAATGGAGAAGAAGTGGAGGAAGCCAAAGGCACTGTGCTTTTGCCACAACTTTTTAATTGCTCCAACTACAAAACAAGAAACAAACCCTGGTCCTGATGAGGCTAATAGTAAATCATTGGACTTGGCCCTACAGATCTACATTTCTTACTATTAACTTTTCTCCGCTTTCCAGAAAAGGGCATTCCTTTTAGCAATATTCTAATTCCTCATCAACATGCTACTGTTACTTGTCATGTCCACTTAATTCTACAGTCATGTGTGGTTCAGTTTACAGCATCAAGTATTGGCCTCAGTGTTACTTTCAGTTTTGCGTTTATTATCTTTTATCTCACTGCTTATACTTACAGCTTAGTTTGTGTTTCGCACTTTTCTTCGTGACATGACACACTGCCATTATCAGCTGTATCACACTTTCCACTAGGCTAACAGGATGAGACAGACTGGGAACACAACCAGTCCAGGTAAAATACAAACTGACACTCATTAACAGAAGCAATGGAAAGTGGATGCTAAAAGAGAGTCTCCATCAGATGAGATGTATACCATGCATGCCAGGAGAAGTGAACTACTTCAACAGAGAAGTGAACTGCTCCAATAAACTTGAGCTTTAAACTCTGCTTGAACATCTAAGGATGAGGCAAACCAAATTCATTGAGTGACCAGGCTCTGTCAGCACTGCTACAAGTTCAAACAGAAATCTTTCCCCTCCTATCAGATATCCTAATCCCTCACTTGCACCCATCCTCAGCACACATCATTTCCAATTAGATTTGGATACAAAAGGCTAATCTATCAGCTTTGGAAAGCAGTGGGTCTCCTCTGATGTGGTCCAAGTGTGTATATGTGACACATTTGCTTTGCAGCTGCCTGACCAACCAGGGAGGGCAGAGGACTCTGGGGGCGAGGAGATAATGCAAACCAACTTTCTTCCACCCCACTCGAAGGGCTTTCTACAGGAAAATATGCTATGTATTTGTTTGCTTTGGATGCAAGTGCACAATAAGGAACATTTTATGGACAGCTGACCCTGCCTTTGGGCAAAGGGATAATGCAAAGTAAATGCGTGGGCTCTTCCCACCCATTTCTTCTGATACAGGGATTGTGTGGACTGACAATATTAACAGCAATGACACACATCTCCCTTCCCCAGAAACAGCTTGAAAAGCCTTTCATCACTTTATCCACTCCTCATCCCAACATGCTACAGCAGGTTTGGATATTTGCAGCAATAGGCTTGGGCTCTGTCTAAGGAGAACCTGAGCTGCCTGGGTGCTGCACCAGCTACTCATAGCAGTACCAGGAGAGGATCTGGTTTTCATGGGCTTTGCTCGGTCAGCAGCACTGCACAGGAAGGGTCCAAAGCTTTATTAACTTTTCTGACAACATTTCAGTTTTCTCAGTACACATTATGGAGAAAGAGAGGAGCTTAGGTAGGAGAAAGAGGAGGTGAACCTGGAGGAAGACATCAGAGCAAGTACAGTAGACACTACTACAGAGCCTGTGAATGGAGGGCTCTGTGACATGATGGGCTTTTGCTGGGAAACTAAAGCTCTCCACGTGGTCTTTTTGACAGCAGGGCTCTGACAGCAATCACCATTTTGAGGGTAATTGCCAAAAATCAGACATCTGAAAAGAAATTTGGGAAGTGCTCACCGGGGAAAGAAATCCCCATGCCTTTCATGAAAAGTTAATAACTGTTGGAGAAAAAAAAAACTGTAGGAATGGCTGTGAAAATCAACTTATGCATAAAGGATCAGTGCCAGATTATTCACGTGGTTTTCCTATTTGTGTGGGTTGTTTTGGTTTTGTTTTTTTCCTTATAAATAGATAATAAAGTGTTTATGAATGAAAGGTAGACTGGAAAAAAAAAATCAATTTGATATATAAAATTAAGTTTTGGTGCCAAAATGCTTGGACTTCATTTACAAGGAGAAAAGTACTTTTCCAGCAGGCGTCTTACTTACAAAAAATAAAATAAAATAAAATAAAGCCACTAGAGATTAAGGAGGAAATAAAAAGGATTAGTATATGAAGAGTAAATAGTGAGGAAGTTTGGGCCATAAGAGATTAATAAGGAATATAAACTTGCTCTTGCTTTGCCTGAGACAAATGGGCCCAACTGTACTCAATGTGTATTAAGGTATACGGAAAGCAACAGAATAGTAAAGAGACTTCCCAAGAGTCATAGCCCTCAGTCATAGCCCTCCTCCTTGGACCTTCCCCTCTCAGAGTCTTAGATGTCCAGATAACCTGCTAAATCTGCAGATTTTTGTGATGAGTGGGGGAAGTTCTTGCAGACAGCTTCGTTGGCACATGCTTCCTTCCTTCAAGCATGAGACAGTCAGTGCAGAAGCCTGAACTGCCAGTGTATAGGCATTCACTAAGCTGTCTTCAGAATCACAAAATTAAAAACAGTGATTTAAAGCTTAAAATGCATTATCCAGTTTTTATGCGCATACAGCCACAAGCACGTGCACATACACAAACATGAACACTCTCAGGCAAACCAGAAAAATTTGCTATTCTAAACAAATTTACCACACAGCTTCAGATAAATATTTGGACGTTGAAATGTCAAAACACTCAATAGAACTATCATTGTGGAAAACACATTTTTTATTTCTGCATTTGCTACATATATGAAAAAAAGCAGTTGAAGTACATTTAAAATACTTAGCTCTACTTGAGATAGAATAAACTATCTCAAACAAAACTTAAACAAAATTAGCAGCGTAATTATCATTAAATCCTCTGTTTCGATACTGTATTTCCCCATCACTGACTCTCCCTTTTCAT